TTATTATGGTGAGTTACAATTGATTCATTATTATATTAAATGCGAGAATTCTTTATTTGTGTGTGTATGTATATAAATTAGAGTTTGTGAATTCATATTTTAAGTGGAGAATAAATGTATTTGTATGTATTTTATATTGTGTTTATAGAGATTATTAGACAATCTGTAAGGGTGTTTTTGTGGTGGAGTTTTGGAATTGCCTACTTATGTAGGGTTGGTTGAATCAATACGACTAAAAGTCGGACTGTTATATTCTGGAGGAGACAGACTAATATGTAATATTCTACTACATCAGGGAGTGGTAGTTTTATTAACCGAGACGGGCTTGAATTTTCTTAAAGAGAGTGAGATTACCATACATCAATCCGATTTATTATATATTCATATATTTGGAGATATGATGTGTAATACATACATAATTTAATATAGTGGACGAGCGGTAATATCCATGAATGTAGATACATTTGTCAAATCACGTAAATCTGATATTTTCTCTTCTTACTCATATTTATTTTGATTGTACAATTATTTATTTATTTTGATAAACACTCCAACAACTTACAAAAACAAAAATCAATTGTTTCAATATCAACTACCTATCAAATACTAAACACGTTTTGATTGGGAAGTTGATATCAAAATAGAAATGGTGTGGATTAAGCAGAAGTTCCCTACAATTTTAGATAAAACTATGATTTTCTTGATATGCATAGACTATTGAGAAAACTCGGTACAAAAAGGCACGTGAGCATTAATTTAATCACCTAAATTATTTTAATGCACTTTCTTGTGTGTGTTTTTTTGTTTTTTGAATTGAGAAGTGTTTCAAAAGTGAAGGAACTATACGTGTTGAAATGGCAACATGTTTTATGTGACCCAGCGTTTTTAATTTAACCCAGGCCCATCTTTTTGAGTGTCAAATTTTGCTGAAATTTATTATATGCTTTGATAATTTCTCCCCCAAGAAAATGATTGGGGAAATTACCCATAGGTCCCATGGGAAACATGTGATCTCCATTTAATCCCATAACTTTTTCACTACACCCAAAAGTCCTTTCCTCTCTCTCTCTGCTTTTTGCTTTCCTTCCTCTCTCGTTTTTTTTTCTACATTTTTCTGTCACCGTATTTGTCATGGAAGAGGACAATCTTCTGCATCATAATCTACTTCCCGAAAGTACGAATCCACTTCCGAGTTCAAGAAGAACAGTTCCTTGATCATATCTTTCTCCATTGATCGGGGTTCATTGATAACCACCAAGCATTGAAATCAACTCCGACGAAGAAGATGATATATTTTCCGACGAAGAAGATGAATGGATCTACTTAGATCTGATATAGATCTACTCAGATCTACATCAGATCTGAGTAGATCTACACAGATTTGGTTAGACATCCGTCTTTCCCCTTCGATTTCTTTTTTTTTTCTCTCTCTGCTATACACTTCTGTTTTTCTATTCTAATGGAGAAAATTTTCGAATTCTGAACAAGCAGTTTTCGAGTTTTAGTTACAGGCGGTGAAAACTGTAAAATTTTGCAGTTTCAAATTTTTTTTTTGGTACTGGAATGAATCATGGTTTAAAACTGTAAAATTTTGCAGTTTTATAACATTCTTTAGAACTGTATCCATAACATGTTTTTTAATTATTTTTTTTCGGCAATATTCTAGACATTCCGGTGAGTCTCCGGCGACCGTTAAACGGAAGTCCGACGGTAGTAAGATGTGAACAGTGTCTATAAATTTAAAAAAAAAAAAAGGATTTTTTGGTAACAATTAAAAATGTGTTGGACTAATTGGTGCAAGTATTTTGTTTTGGGATTAATTGGATTTTGAACTTGTTACATGGGACTTATCAGTAAGTTCCCCAAAATGATTTACATATGTACACAAATTGGCATCTCCAACCCGGTCCACAAGCATTTCCCATTCCCATTGAGGAAGTAGGGTGGGGTTGGTTTCTTTTCCTCCTCGGCCCACCATGGCTACATGTATTAAAAAATATTTTTTTGTGTATATTTGGATATAATATTATTGAAAAAATTATAAGTTTGGATATAATATTTGTTAAATAAAAAGAAAATGAAATGAAATTATTTGTAATTTTTTTTATGGGTAACAAACATAATAATTTTTTATGTTTTTCAGAAATGTCAATTTTTACTTTTATTTATAATTTTTTCAAGCCTCACTAAACAAATAATCTAGACCCTTGCTGATATTTTTTTCATTCAGCCATTATTTAACAGTTGATCCATTCGAGCCACATATTTTTGAGCCACCAACCATTGCTGTTTCAAAATATACAATCAAACAAACCAAAAAAATTTCTAAATTCTCTTTCCCAAATTTTTTTTTGAAAAATTATCTTAAAACACAAACCAAACGCACCAATCTTTAAAGTTTTCATTTCTAATTTTTTTTTCAATCAATTATGGTTGTAAATGAGTCGAGTCGAGTCATGCAGTAAACTGTTTAGATTTAGCTTAAAAATTTAACTAGCTAGTTCTAAAATATGTTTGTGTTTGGTTTGGTTTTGGGAGATAAATTTTCAAAAAAGATTTTGGAGGATAGAGTTTAGAAATTTTTTGGATTTGTTTGGTTGTATATTTTGAAAGAGTAGTGATTTAGAGCACTAAATTTGAAAATCTAAAAACATCACTAATGAGGTGGCAATATAAAAAAAAATAAAAATACATAAAACAAAGGCCAAACTATCACATCAATGGTGGAGTCCACATGATGCCACATCATTGGTGGTGCATTAGCGGTGCAAAATTAGTGGTATGAAACATTTTTTATTTTGAAAATAGTTTTGGAGTATGGGAGTTTGGAATGACTTGATGTTTGTGAGAGAGAAAAAGTGATTGAGAAGGAGAGAGAAGAGAGAAAAAATGATTGATTAATGTGTAGAAGAGATAGTTCAAAAAAAAATGTGTAGGAGAGATAAAGTGATTTTGAATTTTTTTTTTCTAAAATCACTAAACAAAATCTTGGAAATTTTCTCCAAAATTTGTTTCTCAAAAACAAACCAAACAATGCCTGTTTTTTGAGTTAATCTCATATGAATTTTAATCTAGTCAAACTCATGTAATTTGAACTTTTCTAGTGTATCTAAGGTTTCATTTAATTATAGTTTAAAAGTCAATTTATTAGCCAAAAATGTATATTTTACTTAAAAAGTTTGGACTTGTTTGGTAAACTCAATTTTTGTCAAAAAAATTATTTTAACTTTTCTTAAAAATCATTAGAAAAGCGAGAAAAATTAGGAATGTACTAAACAAACTAAAATTTTTAATATTAACATTTAATAATACTATGTCAACATTACACTGATAACAAGTTGAGTAGAAGCTCTATTTTAGATTTTGGATATGTATAAGATTAGAGATTTTCCATTGTGTATTTTTTTTTTTTTTTAATTTTAATCATATTTTCTAGCACCTACTCATGATAGGAGTGAGGTTGACCGCTTGTTTGCTTTGAATTTTCAGAATTTATTTTTCAAAAAATTAAATTTTCTTATTTTTCTTATTTTTTTATTTTCATTAATTTTTTTAATATTCTAAGTAATTTTTTAATTTTTAGATACACTTAACATAAATACACTTAAAAAAAATATAATATTTGTGAAAAAATCTTTAGAAAATTTACTAAATACCAAAAATACAAAAAAAAAAAAAACGAGAATTCAATATATTTTTCGTATTTTTGTGTATTTATTGATTTTTTAAAATATTTTTTTACAAATATTTTATTTTTTAGATACATCTAAGTAAGGTGCATCTAAAAAAATTTTAAAAAAAAATTGATTAAAATTTTTAAAATATAAACTAAAAACAAAAAAAAAATTACAAAAAAAAAAAAAAACTTAAATTTTAAAAAATTGAATCCAAAAAATTAAAACCAAATTGTGAGTCGGCTATAAAAAAAAAAAATCGATAAAAAGTAATATGTGCAAGACTTTTTTGATATTGAATTTATGGGGATAAAATATTACACTTCCTGTTTATTTTTTATGTATCCAGAATACAAATACAGGTATGAGATAAATACGCTTCCACATATTTTTAACACAAAACAAAATGGTTGAGTAGGGGCATTCTCAAAATTACTCACGCTTTTGACATTGAAAATAAATTTATTTGAATGGAAATCATTTTTTTAAAAATATTTTTAAAAGATAAAAACAATTTTCAAATTAAATACTTATCTATGTCACCAAAACTTTCACCGCCATCTCCGCTAACTCCGCCACCATCATAACTACCGCCCAGCAATTATCACTCACACTATTATTAATACAATTACTAGCACATTAGTTAAAAAGTAACAATCAAACACACAAAAAATAAAATAAAATAAAATAAAATCATAAAAAATGATTTTGTTAGAATAGATCCAAAGATTGTTGTAATTTCCATTGTTAACTTTCAAAGATCGGTTTATCAAATTATCAGTAAACTTAAACCGTAACCATTTCATTTCCCTATTATCAATGACTTTCCCCGACACCAATAATAATAATTGATTTATAGAGAACCATAAATATTCAAAAAATTACAGATACTGTATTTTTTTTTCTTTTTTTTGGAGAATCAGATAAACTAGAAAGGACAAGAGGCAAGATACAGAACATGAACTTAACAAGCATGATTAAGTCACTTGTTTTATTTTATTTTCATTTTGGTTACAAAGTATTTTTTTCTTTTTCTTTTTTCTTTTTTCTTACAATGAAAAACACCTTTCCCAACTAAGTTTAAACCTTTTGTTTATGAGTTTTTAATAGTGATAGACCTCAACATGTTCAATTATTTAATATTGAGAATATATTAGCTTTTATATAGATTTTAGTACTTATTTCCAAGCGTTTTCAAATTCTTTTGTCATTCAAATTCAACTTACATTTACAAAATATTTCCAAAACATTTTCGTTTCCAAGCTAACTTTAACAACATACTAAAACAAAATTTTGACCCTTGGTTGTCACAGGAAAGCGTGGATAATATTATAATCACTTTTCATATTTTCATATTGTAAGTTCTAATGAAGAATAAATTGAGATAAGATTTTTCCCAAAAAGTAATAATCGAAATAAGGAAAAAGATGACCATTTCAGTTGTTACAGGATCCAAAATTGGTTCATCAGCTGGTGCCTGATTGAAAAGCATGTTGCCCCTTGTCGCACGAAACAACATTCGCTCAAACCTAAGAAGTTTGGATTTACTGATAATGCCACTAATAAATCTTAAACCAGATTGATTTGATGGCTCATGTCGCATCTCCTGTAGAATAAATTATTTATTGAATGACCATGTTAATCGTTGCTGAAAAAGTTTCATGTTTATAGTTAATCATGCAAAATAGTATTCAACAAAGCAGCCAATTACCTGTTCAAGTAAAGATGCTGTATCTGCATAGTCATCATTAGAGTACACATGATCATCTAACTCTCTTTCCTCTGCAACTGCATGGCTCTTACTTGAAACAAGGAAACCACTTGCCTGGAATCACCCATGTGAAGGCATGAGAAAAGCAAATAAAACTAGATTTTGAAAGGAATGCTTCATATACATACATTGTCAAGAAACATAACTTCAGTTATTCGGCAAAGGTCTATTTAGCCACAATTTCATAATAATTAAGTAGATTTAGGTATGTGATGTATTTATACTCCATCTGAAATAATGAACACATTAATAAGGAAAAAACAGAGATCACTTGACAATTTGGGGCTCATGAGCCAATGTTTACAGTGAGTCCAAACAGTAAATAAAAAGATATCCAATGAGCTGTGAAAATCTGAATGCAAAAAGACTTTTAAGAACAAGCCACATTCATAACCAAAACATATATACATCTCAGATATACATAATATTCAGTTTAGGGACCTAATCCCTTCACCATAACTGTACAACCACGTTTTATTCAGTCAGTACAAAACAGAGACAAAAAGGGTGATTCTGGAACACCCCAAAACAGCCTTGGCTTGAACGGATTTGGAACCTCGAAGTGAGGCACAATGGTTGGCTTGACAAAACTGGAGCTTAACTCGACGCTCCTAGCTCCGGTCCGGTGCCTGGACACCTACATATAAATATAAACAGTGAGCTAAAGTCCAGTGAATAACAATTGTGTAAAGAGGTTAAGAATGAATGTCCTTTCAGTAATTAAATAGTCATATCAGCCATTTAAAAACCATAACAGTCATATGTGGTACATCCAATAGCAGAACAGTACAGTAAGTCTTAAAAAACCGAACAGTCAGTTGATGGTCATCAAAACAGTATACAGTATTGGTTCCAATCATTGGAACCAACAGAGATCTCTGTGACAGTAGCAGTACAGTAACAGTACAATAGCAGTAACAGTAACAGTAAGTTACTATGGATGCCACGAGTACAATTCATAAAATAGGACAAACATTCATTCAGTAAACAGTATCACTTCAGAAAACAGTACAGTTGATTGTTCAGAAATAATCATAATTGAACATATCTTTACTACATTGTTACTCACAGAGTACTAGGCTATAGGCTGGCTAATTAGCGTCCCCGGATGCCAACCCTACACAGTAATAGAACGAACGCACACTAAGTTACACACTTGAGAGTAATGACTTAACCCCTATCTTGACTTGGTGTGGTTCTACATCAATAACCTCATTAAGATGCCTTAAACATGGCCTAGGAATGCCTAGGATGGAATAAGGATACAAAAATACACTTTAAAACACTTTTCAAAATTTGCTGAAAATAGGGGTCTCGCTCGAGCGTGGCTTTCTACGCTCGAGCGAGCTTACCAAACAGAGGGGTCGCTCGAACGTGGACTTCCTCACTCGAGCAGTCTGCAAAAACATGAAAAGTACTGGTTGTTAAAAATCTCTGCTCGATGCTCGCTCGAGCGAGAGACACGTTCTTCACTCGAGCGTGCGTCTGCACACGCAGAAAACCTGAGAGCTTGCAATCTACGCTCGAGCGGAACTCAGAACACAAAGGCGGTTGCTCGAGCGTGGAATCCTTCGCTCGAGCGTAGAAGCCAAATTCTGGGTTTTCTAGATTTGCTTCCAAAATCAGTAAACTTAAACCGTAACCATTTCATTTCCCTATTATCAATGGCTTTCCACGACACCAATAATAATAATTGATTTATAGAGAACCATAAATATTCAAAAAATTACAGATACCGTATTTTTTTCTTTTTTCTTTTTTTGGGAGAATCAGATAAACTAGAAAGGACAAGAGGCAAGATACAGAACATAAACTTAACAAGCATGATTAAGTCACTTGTTTTATTTTATTTTAGTTTTGATTACAAAGTATTTTTTTCTTTTTTCTTTTTTCTTTTTTTAATCCCTACTGCTGCTGCTGCTACTACTAGAATTTTGTATTTCTAATGTTTTTTCTTACAATGAAAAACACCTTTCCCAACTAAGTTTAAACCTTTTGTTTATGAGTTTTTAATAGTGATAGACCTCAACATGTTCAATTATTTAATATTGAGAATATATTAGCTTTTATATAGATTTTAGTACTTATTTCCAAGCGTTTTCAAATTCTTTTGTCATTCAAATTCAACTTACATTTACAAAATATTTCCAAAACATTTTCGTTTCCAAGCTAACTTTAACAACATACTAGAACAAAATTTTGACCCTTGGTTGTCACAGGAAAGCGTGGATAATATTATAACCACTTTCTTGATGGAAATATTTTCACTCAACTCTCGTCCTGTATTTGACATAAGATTCTGCATGACAAAAAAAGTTCTATTTTTTATTTTATTTTTTATTAACTTTCTTGTAAAGAACACACGCGATATTTTGCTAGTCACAAGTAAACTACACTACATTATCCGCTAAGCAATAATAGGGAAAATGGAATAAACATATCATCAAATTATCTTTCTTGCGAGGATGTTGAAAATACAGTCAGTAAAATTCAAAAGCATACTTCTCGAGTTAGTTGCTCTGTTTCGTTACATCTTCAGGTATAGGATAGCAATTTGCACAAATGCTTCACAAATTTTCATTGTTTTTGTTTTTGCCTGCTCCCCTAAGAAGAACACTACAAATACCATTTTCTCAACCTGCATGGACAATATCAGAAGAGTCAAATTTTTTTAATGTAAAAGAATTCATCCAACGTTCTTGATAGCAATAAAAAAAAAGTATACCATTAATAAGTAGACTTGGTCAAATTTTCATATTGTAAGTTCTAATGAAGAATAAATTGAGATAAGATTTTTCCCAAAAAGTAATAATCGAAATAAGGAAAAAGATGACCATTTCAGTTGTTACAGGATCCAAAATTGGTTCATCAGCTGGTGCCTGATTGAAAAGCATGTTGCCCCTTGTCGCACGAAACAACATTCGCTCAAACCTAAGAAGTTTGGATTTACTGATAATGCCACTAATAAATCTTAAACCAGATTGATTTGATGGCTCATGTCGCATCTCCTGTAGAATAAATTATTTATTGAATGACCATGTTAATCGTTGCTGAAAAAGTTTCATGTTTATAGTTAATCATGCTACTGGATTCATCATTTGTTTTGCTTTTGTGAATGGGACTCAATTAAGTACTACTACAGGTTGAAAAAGACTTTTGAATGTTTTGAGTAAAAGTATTTTGTTCAAAAAATGTAATTGACCAATAACCCTAAGCCCCAGCCCCCCTTTGGAGGTAACAAATTAAGGATTTTTCTATAAAATTAGAATTTATGAAGCCAATTCCAAAAATTTATGTTGGCCCATTTGGTGGTGACCTATGTGTGCACGAGGCCCACTCCTTTACCACATCACTATCAACCCAATACAATTGAACACCTTATAAAGTGAAGACTTCTTCTTCCTTGTACCAATGTAGTTCAAAGGCAAATCCATGTGTTTCGAAATACACAGTTGCTGTCACATATATGTTATACAAGATTAAAATGAAAAATATTACAGTGCGTTATAGGATTATATGGGCATAGGTGATGTTTCTAGCATAATTTTATTTGGGTAAATTACATTGACACCCCCTGAGATTTATGTTTATTACAGTTTTCTCTCTTACATTTTGAAAATTACATCTCCCTCCCTGAGGTTTAAAGTTTCATAACAGTTCCCCCCTCACCGTAATGATCATCATACATAAAATTAAATTAACAGGGGGGTCAGTGTAATTTCCCAAATGTGAAGGGGGAACTGTAATAAACATAAACCTTAAGGGTGTCAGTGTAATTTACCCATTTTAGTTTGTTACTCTTAATGGCTACGTGTTACTTATGTTGGTGCATAAATATATCACTTGAGTAATGGTAGGTTTTCCCACAATCATTACTTCTGTAACTGTAAAAGGGCATTTATATCGAGAAGCAACATATAGATGTTATCGGTGCCCACTGCACTCAAGAAAATTGCAAGAAAGTATACCTTCTGCAGTACCATCTTGAACTCTAGCAGCTCATTGTACGTTTGTCGTAGTTTCTCAATGTTATGGTTCATTTCAATCAACTCATGTTCACGCAGCAAGTTGTATCTAGAATTAAGAGAAAGACAATAATAAAGCACATTAGATCATAACTTAATAGAAAAAATGCACATTAGTTCTCTAAGAAAAGTTGCCTTTGCAGGAAAGAGGAAATGGTTCTTCACTTTTTGACCATTTCTTACAGCATATGGTTATTGCTGGCACTACAAGAGGGGGTAAAAAAATCCAGACAGAAAGAAAGGAAAACAACATAAAAATTATGAGGACAAAAAAAAAAAGGTTCCCTTGTCAGTAGATGAGGATTAATAACTAGAAATGGACCTCTAATTCCTCCAATTCCACGTGTTCTAGCATAGCAGGATGAGCAAAAGACATTAGACTGGCTTTTTGTATTTGATCTTTGAAAAACCGTAGCTTTCTTGACATTTCTGCACATCTTTTTACCTGTGAAATGACTCCCAAAAACATGAAAATAAAAATGATAAAAGGAGACTGTAGTAGATATCATTCCACCTATAAAAAATATATTGAAGTAATTTTGTTTAGCACTAAGTTCATACCTCAAGGTGATCTAGAAATATGAAAATAAAAATGATAAAAGGAAACTGTAGTAGATATCATTCTACCTATATAAAATATTTTAGTAATTTTGTTTACCACTAAGTTCATACCTTATCTAGATGGGCATTTCACAACATCCATCCGGATATTTGGATGCATGAAAGCATGAGATGAATTCTAAATGCAATGGTGGTCTTGGATTGATAACATTAGGAAACTTGGCGTAAGTTCACAGTTGGATGGCTATGGAGTGAGGCATGGTTTCGGAGGATTTATCTCGCCGGCGACTGATTTTTCATGGTGATCGATCTTTTCAGTTCGAGGAGGGGCAGGAAGATGGCATTGGATGCAGATGTGTCGAGATTGTTGAACGGGGGCAGGGACTTCGTCGGGCTATTGATTTGGTTGGTGCTGAGATTAAGTGGGTGGCGTCACAATTGCTTCGAGTGTCTAGTAGGGTGGCCAATGGGGACGATGAAGTGTGGCCTGTTGGCTTCGTCACGGGGAGGAGGGCGAGGAAGTTCAGGTTATGGTCCAGTCGGGGGATCGGCGACGACAGATTTTCATCCCTCAATCATCTTACGGAGACGGTTGGGAAGGGGTTGCCTTGGTTCTGGAAGGTTTTTGGGGAAATAATGGTTGGGTGTCCAGGGGGCGTCCAAATCACATTGGTACAGTAAGAGCTTGGCCAGAAGGTGCGGGGGTAGCAGTGGCGAGGTCTGTTGGTAGGGAGGTGGAAGTCCAGCAGGGGTCCGAACCAGGGTGGGTCGGTTTTTTGGATTCTTGTTTGGTAGGTTGAGTGGGTGCTCTAGGGGAGAAAGGCATGGAGGCTCACCGGTTGTCGGCATGGGCAAATTGGGCATGGTGCGTCACTAGAGGGGTACAAGTGAAACCGATTGGAGGCCAATTTGTAATGTTTGCCTTTTCGAACAGAGGTGATGCTACTCGGATTCTGAATAATGCATGGGTGGTTGATGGTCGACCCCTACAACTTGAACGGTGGTCACCGGAGGTACTGTGCACTAAGGGTCGTTCTTTGCCCCTACAGAGTGTTTGGGTACAGGTGTTGGGACTTTCGATTCACCTTCGAGGGGAGCAAGTGTTTCGACCAATCGGGGATCGGTGTGGGGGTTTTCTGGCCACCGATGTTGCGACGACGACGATGGAGTCACTGGGTTGTATTTGTTTGAAGGTTCAGGGTTCGGGGCATGGAGTTCTGCCGCGGATTCATGTTAGATGGGGCCAATGGCGGTACATCCTTCCAGTCTGGTTAGAGGTGGGTCCAGCCATGGAGCAATGGAGCTCGTCGGAAAATCGTGCCCAGCAACGACCGAATTTGGAATCGCGAGATTTAGGGAGATTTGGACATCGTGATTTTGGGCGAGAATGGCGGAGGCCAGATTTGCAGAATAATAGAGATAGGGTCAGATCATCTCAGATTTGGTTACCAAAGCAGCGAGGTCAGGGGGCTGGGCCTACCTTGGGCCGAAAGATTAGGGGAGGTACTCAATTTGTTGGGCCACAATTTCGTTCCACCTGTGACCAAAACGGCAAACGGGAGGGACTGGGACTGGGTCTGGGTCCATTTAATGGGCTTGGGCCAAATAAAAAACCTACAGTGCATGTGGGCTCTAGGAGGGCTTCTGGCAGTGGATTTGGGCTCAGTGTGCGAAAGTGGGCCACTTTCAATTGAATGAGCTCTTGGGCAATACAGGGAAGAGTCCATCTAGGGCAGAGTAGGGTCCAATCTAATGGACACACGACTCCAGTGGCCAAGATTTTTGATACCCTTTATCAGGGATTGGATCTTCCTCAAGCGGATCGGGTTTTGACCTCTACGAGAGTTCCGACTGTAACGACGGGCGACCCATCGACGTCGAATCAATGCTTGGCTGATGGTGGTGAGGATTTCGCACCTTGGCAGGAGGCGGAGCAGGTGGCCGAGGTCAGTCGTCTCAAGGTGGGGGCTTTTCTGCCACAGTCTCACGACGATGGGGGTCGATATAGGGAAGATACGCCGATAGCTGCGATTTCGTGGGGCGATCGAATGGAGACTGTGGTTAATGTTGGGAAAGAACTATCCCTGGTGGTTCAGCCGTTGGCTATGGGAAGTGACAAAGGGCTGTGGCAAGACGGTTCAAACTCAGCTTCAGGCCATCATGCTGGGTTTGGTGAAACTGCGATTCCTTCTGACACTGTTGTGTCTAAATGGGTCCTGGACAGGATTAGTGAGGTAAGCCGCTTGTTAGGAGTGTCTTTTGAAGGACATGAGGCAGAGGCCATGCGATTATTTTCAGCGGTAGAGGCATCACGGAGGCCAGGGAGTTCTAGTTCTGGAACGAGCAGAAAGTCGTCGCCAGTAGCAGGCCGGAAAGGGGCTCGTGAGCTTAAAAATCTGCATTGTTCAATTAATTATGACCATGTCGACAGGATAACAGGGCGAGAGGTTCGTAAGCCACCGGGGGGAGGGGGGGGATTTTGTTGAAATGGGATTAAAAATTTTGTCATGGAATGTGCAAGGGTTGAACGATAGGGATAAGAGGATGGTTGTCAGTACAGTGGTGCGAAATGCTAAAGCGGATGTAGTATGTTTACAAGAAACAAAAATGGAGGTAATGGAGGATGCGATGGTGCGACAAATTTGGGGTGGTCGTTTTGTGGAATGGATTTATTTGCCTGCTGTGGAAGTGCAAGCAGGAGGGATTCTACTCTGTTGGGATAACAGGATCGTAGTGAGGGAGGGACAGGAGTTAGGGGGTTTCTCGGTTTCTTGCTTGTTTAGGTGTGTGGCAGATAGTTTTCGGTGGGTGTTTACAGGAGTATATGGGCCGGTTCGTCATGCTGAACGGGCTGAGTTTTTTTTAGAGCTGGAAATGGTTGCATTCCGGTGGTCAGAACCATGGTGTGTGGGGGGTGATTTTAATGTGGTCAGAGGGCCGATTGAGAAGGTTGGGAATAGTCGGGTGAACGGTGCAATGCGGGCCTTTTGTACATTTATTGATAATTGTCAACTGATGGATTTACCGCTTCATGGGGGGAGCTTTACTTGGTCTAATGGGCAGCAGATGTCTCGGATTGATAGATTTTTGGTCAGCGGAAATTGGAAGGAACATTTTGCGGGGGTTATGCAGCTTCGTTTGCCTCGTCCAGTTTCAGATCATTGGCCTCTTCTGTTGGATAGTGGAGGTTTTCGTGGTGGGCCTACGCCATTCCGTTTTGAGAACATGTGGTTACAGTCTACCGGTTTCATTGACATGGTCCAGAAGTGGTGGCAGAGCTACATGGTGTTTGCTCGCCGAGTGGTAGGCTGACTCAAAAACTGAAGCTACTTAAAGGTAACTTGAAACAGTGGAACACAGAGTTGTTCGGTCGGCTAGAGACGCAGAAAGCAGAAGTGCTAGGGATTTTGCAGTTGTTCGATGAGCTGGAGATGAATGGGGGGTTGAGGGAAGCAGATCTTGCTAAGAGGGAGGCGGCTAGGCAAGATTTTGTTCGTCTGGCTCGTATGGAGGAGGTGTGCTTCCGACAGAAATCTAGATGTTTATGGTTGAAGGAGGGGGACCGAAACACAAAATTCTTTCATCGCATGGCAAATTGCCATCACCGGGTGAACCAGATTGTTAGATTGCAGATAGCTAGAACTGACTTGACCACAGTTACAGATATTAGAGAGGGTATAGTGGGCTTTTATCAGACCATGTTTAGGAAGGACAGTGGAGGCCAGGTTTGGATGGGGTGCTTTTTGACGCTATTGATGGAGGAGATAGGGAGGCTCTAGAGATGGATTTTTCTAAAGAGGAGGTTATGGGGGCTTTGAAGGCTATAAGTGGGGACAAGGCTCCAGGTCCAAATGGGTTCACGATGGCCTTCTTCCAGCACTGTTGGCGGGTAATTAGGCAAGATGTGATGGCCGTCTTTCAGGCTTTCTCTAGTTCGGGGCGGTTCGAGAAGAGTCTCAACGCGACTTTTTTGGCTTTGATTCCAAAAAAAGGAAGGGTTGAGAATATTCGGGATTTTAGGCCTATTAGTTTACTTGGAAGCATGTATAAGCTGTTAGCTAAAGTTTTAGCAAATAGGCTGCGTGGTGTTTTGCCAACAGTGGTGTCTGAAGCTCAAAATGCATTCATCGGGGGTTGTCAGATTCTGGATGCCGTATTAGTAGCTAATGAATGTGTTGACTCGAGGCTTCGGCAGGGGCGTCCCGGGGTGATCTATAAGTTAGATATTGAGAAGGCCTATGATAGTGTTAATTGGGAGTTTCTCTACTACGTTATGAGGCGGATGGGTTTTGGGGAGAAATGGTGTCGGTGGATGAAATTCTGTATTTCTACGGTCCAGCTATCTGTATTGGTGAATGGTACACCGGTGGGATTCTTTTTTACTTTTCGTGGCCTTAGACAGGGAGACCCCTTGTCGCCATTGTTGTTCCTCTTGGTAATGGAGGCCTTTACTAGATTGTTGGGGCGGGCTGTAGCTGAAGGCTTGTTGGAGGGTTTTTCGGTCGGATCTTTGGGCGGAGGAGTGGTGGGTGTTTCGCATCTTTTGTATGCAGATGATGCTTTGGTCTTTTGCGAGCCGCGTGCTGAGCAGTTGGGCTATTTGCGGTGTGTTTTGCTGTGTTTTGAGACGGTCTCGGGTCTAAGAGTGAATTTGAGTAAGTCTGAGTTAATCCCAGTAGGGGAGGTTGACAAAGTCCCCATGTTAGCAGCTATTTTGGGGTGCAAGGTGCTAGCTCTGCCAGTTTCTTATTTAGGCTTGCCATTGGGTGCTACTTTTAAGTCGCAAGGGGTGTGGAATGGTGTGGTGGAGCGAGTGCAGCGACGGCTGGCAGGTTGGAAGAAGCAATATTTGTCAAAAGGGGGACGTTTCGCTTTGATTCAGAGTGTGCTGAGTAGTATTCCGACTTACTTTATGTCGGTACAGGTAATTCCGGTTTCTGTGGCTCGACGTTTGGAGAAGCTTTAGAGAGATTTTCTGTGGGGGAGTGGAGAGGAGGTTTTCCGTTATCATTTGGTGGGATGGGATCGGATTTGTTCTCCAAAGGATGCTGGTGGTTTGCGGGTCCGGAGTTTGGTTACTTTTAATCGAGCCTTATTGGGTAAATGGTTTCGGCGTTTTGCGTGGGAGCGAGACCGGCTTTGGCGAAGGGTGACTGCTGCAAAATTTGGGGTGGATAGCAGGGATTGGAGGACCAGAAAAGTTACAAGATTTCATGGGCGGGGATTGTGGAGAGGGATTTGGTTTTGGAGGGATGAGTTTTGGGAACGGGTGCATTTCCGAGTGGGAAATGGGAAGAGGGTTAGGTTTTGGAGGGATAAATGGTGTGGGGAGGTGTTGTTGGAAGATCGATTTCCTTTGATTTTTGGCATTGTGGCGGACCCTGAGGTGACTGGCGAACTGTTTTGGGAATGGAGAGGTGGTAGTCTGGGACGTCCGCCTGCGGCGGGCAGTTCAGGATTGGGAGGCTACTCAATTGGAGGAGATATTGGGGTTTTATATGGTTTGGGGCCCGTTGGGCGAGGGGAGGATAGGGTGGTGTGGACAGTGTTGGGTACAAAAGGCGTCTTTACGGTGTCATCCTTTTATCGAAGTCTGGTGGGGGGGGGGGGGCAACTACGTTGTTCCCTTGGCGAAGCATTTGGGTTCCGGGCGTTCCATCTAAGGTAGTGTTCTTTTTGTGGACAGCTGCTTTGGGCCGGAATCTCACTATTGATAATTTGGTCCGTCGAGGTCATGTCTTAGTGAATCGCTGTTGTATGTGTTGTATAGATGCAGAGTCGGTGGATCATTTATTTCTTCATTGTGATGTGGCATCTCATCTATGGGGGTTGGTATGCTCTTTGTTTGGGGTTGTTTGGGTGCAGCCCCAGGGGGTGTTGGAGATGTTATGGAGTTGGGGAGGGGCTCGTGTTGGTCGTCGATGTCGGTGGATTTGGTTCGTCGTGCCTTTTTGTTTGATGTGGCTGGTTTGGTTGGAGAGGAATCGGCGGACGTTTCTCGACATTACTCAGTCGGTGTCTTGGCTTCAGAATCGCTTGTTGCTTACTTTATGCACTTGGTTGAAGTCACGGGCCAACCCGGATATATTTGTTTTCATAGATTTTTTGGATAATATTATTGGTTAGGAGTTCTAGATTCTTTGTATTCTTTGCATCTTCTTGATGCTTTTCTAATAAAATTAATTACTTATCAAAAAAAAAAAATTTTCACAACATCCATCCAGCACCCAAATTTCAATTGGTATACATATTCCATAGAAAGAAAAGCCAACTTACTGAGCTCTTCTATTGTTGTTATTTTTCTCTCTCAACAAATGGTGATAACGGGTAATAGCCTTGTCCCTCATTTGCTTGTATTTGTTAATAACATGAAAGGCATTCCTCATGATGTTAAAAAGTTAAAAAGTTGGGCATTAAAGTGGCGCATAATTAATCTTTCTTGTTCATCACTCAACTATATTAAGCCTGACTATTGTTTTAGTGCTCCTTGTATTCTTCCAAAACAAATCCATGACACTTTCTCTAAAATAAGGGCAAACTGATAATTTCACAAAATTCAAATTGTGCTCCACCGTCCTAAACTCCCACTACTCACAAATTCTCTTTGTAGAGAGAGGTAAACGGAATAAAAAACAAGAGCTAATCTAAGATACGAAGCACGGGCACAATTCGGACCCGTCCTCTTGTTAAAGACCAATATAAAGGCAAGTGAAGCAGAAGACTTCCATTTCCACTTTACTGGAAGAAACAAAGACTGTATAAATTTGTACACGTATATATAACTCTAGTGACATAAAGTATATCTCACATCACAACATAGCTTGTACACTTAGATAGCTAAAATGGTTGAGTGTAATTTTATTTGTCAATACTTAATGGAAAGATGATGATGTAGATACCAACAGACTTCTCTGTTCAATGAGTTGAGGAAGCATGAAAACTGCAAATACGATTACACGGGCAGGAATTTATGCCATGAGCTAATTATACTAACAACTTTATTTACCACACACAACATAAAGCTAGAGAAAACATAGGTTTCCATCGATGTTGGGTTTTAGTTGTAGTACCTGTACTGAATATAAAAATGTGCAAACCATTCATTACAAGAAAAAAAGTAATAAAAGTTTTGATTAAACATTCTATACAAAAGCAAATAGCAGTTCTTATAAACAATACCTGATTAACAAATGTTCGCTGGAAAGGGCTTTTATCAGCATTCAACTGCCAAGAACAATTCATAAAAGTGAGTGCATTGGTCAATTAATAATTAAAAAATAAGAAAAAAAGGTCCTTTATTTTTTATTTGGTTAGACAATAAGCTAACAATTTTGTAAAAGAAAACCAAGTAAAACTACATTTTTCACAATATGAAAATTATGGCAGAGTTTCTCCCCAAAAGAAAAACGAGATTGAACACAATTCCAAATTCACAATCTAATAAAGATTACATAATTCTAACTGCTTACACCATCAGTTCTGTTGAGAAAATCCAAACCAAAATAATATAAACGTAACATCAGTAAATAATGGGTAAACTACACGTAGCATCCCTACACTTTATCCCAAATCCCACTTTGGTCCCTCATTTTTCAATTGTAAAACTCAACCCCTCCCACTTACAAGCAACTATCAATGTGGTCCTTCTATTAACTTCTGTTTGCTAAATTGACCGAAGATGCTCACATGGGCTCTCTATACAGTGCAAAACCCAATAGAGGAAGATAATAAGTAAAATTCCCTCTTCTTTGTTTCTTTGTGAAGATTCAAATCAAATTAATAGAAACCTAGCATCAGCAAATAATAGCTGAATTACAATTAGAATCCCTACAAATTACCCTAAATTCCACTTTGATCCCACATTTTTCAATTGTAACAATCACCCTCCCACTTACAGGCAACTAGCAATGTGGTCCTATTAACTTATGTTTGCTAAGTTGACAACAGATGCTCATGTGAAAGTGAAGCTCACGTGGGCTCTTTATACAGTGCAAAACCAAATAGGAGAAGATAATGACAAATTTTTCCTCTTTGTTTAGACCTTGAACAAACAAACCACCATTACAACCACCACACCCCTCATTACTTCCCACACCACCCCCTCACCACTTCCCCCAGGACACCATCACCCCCTTCACCACTTTCCCCAACTACCGCCATCCCCACCATTTCCCCCACCATCCTCACCCCTTCCCTCTTAGCCCTCAGCTCCTTTTCTCCTCCTCCCTCTTCCCCTTTCTTTTCCTAAATCCATCCCCACACCTAACATCCACCACACCACCCACCCCATGCTCCCTTTCCTCCTACCCACTTTGGCCCAGCCAATCTAATAACACACAATCCCTTGTACCTCGTACGACGGAACAAGATTTCAAGCTTCATATTGTAAATTTGGGATGAGATTTTTGTTATTGCTATATTGTGGATCTTGATTTCCGAAATGGATTTACGGAATGAATTGGGGTGGCAGTCGAAACTGTGGTGACTGAGATCGATTGTGGTGATGGATCAATAGTGGCGATAGGGGGTAGAAACAACCTCGCTCTAGCTACCTACTAGACCTAGCACAAAATTAAAAATGGACAAAAGATATTGAGGGATCGATTTTTTGATTGAATTTGAGAAGAAAAAATCAGGCCAAAATGTTTGATGGTGGCAATCGCTTGAAAGACTCACTCGACTGACCCATGGAGCAAACAACAAATTTCGCACCAAAATGAGTTGCTCAAGTAACCTAGAGTTGGTCATCATTCGTCATCCCTAATTTGAAGGCTTTTGATGCAGACCTTTAAGACTAATTGAGATGCTTGTTTGAATATATTTTTGAGCATTTGCCTATAAGGAGAAGTGTGGTAGAAGCTCTCAAGGATCAAGCTAGTAGAAAGCTCTTCAAGTCACTCTCCTCTCCATCCTTAATAGCTCTGCTTGTAAACTTTCTTTTTTATTCTCTCTAAGCTCCTAGTGTGCCCTGTAAAATACTACACAAAAGATCCTTCAGCATTCTAGAGAGAAGCTCTACTCAAAATACATACCTAGACACATCACATTGCCCTCCTTGTAATAAAATAAAGGTGATGTAGTTGTGCAAATTCAAAGCCACATAGTATAAATAACCTAATTGCACCATGTTTGTCATTGGTCGATTGTGATAGCAGTGTTAAACAATCTGTGGTGGAGTCAATTTGTATTCAAGAGAAGGATGATGGTGACAGATTTGCATTGCAGGGATCAGAGAAATCCGTGGAGTTCAAGCCAACAGGGGTCAGCGCCACTGGTGAGTCAAGAACAAACGGATGTCAATGGTAAGAGTTTTAAGTCACTTTATTTGAGTCATGTTTTAATCTCTTGAAATAATTGATTGATTTGCGAGCCAAGTGACCATGATTTTCCTCTCTTCGATGGTTACACAAAAAATCCTTGTTCTTGTGGTCACGATTTGATTGCTTTAAATCTCTGGCAGATAAAGTTGATTAATAATTTGCATAATTTGGTCCTATTCACCCTCCACTATACCATCCATTGTACTTTTTCAAGACATAACAACCTATAAATCCAAAACTACACAAATGTCTCAATGTATGACCGTGTGAAATTTTTGTTCCACTCATCAAATTTCCACTGAGATTGCATCCAATACCATCTCCAATTACAATAACCCTAGCTATACCACACTAGTCTGCGATTTGCGTGCCTAGAGAGAATCAGAACGTTAAAAAAGCATAAAAAAAAAACTTATAAATTTGGAATTCATGAAAGCGAATTAGCACATCAATTGAAGATGAGTATGCAATGGAAAAAAGAAGAAAGAAAAAAAGAAAAAGAAAAAAAAGGAGGATCTGAGTAGAGTGGAAGCGTACGTCTCGGAATTGAAGGAGGCCGAGTTCGCCGAGGTAAGAGACGGCACGGTGAGAGGACTCGGCGGGGACAATGAGCTGAACGAAAGTCATCTTCTGGGAGCGCATCGGATCCATGGCTGGCAAGTTGTCTATGTACTCCATTTTCCATCAACCGAGTGATGATTGCGATGGAATTGAGACACAGAGAGACTGACTAGATCTCCAGATCTGATGATTCCGATGGAATTAGCCGAATTTTTAAAATTATTTTAATCTGATTAAACAAATTTATTTAAGAATAATTTTTGACATTTTATAATTTTGTGACATTAAAAATGAAATTATTATAATTTAAATGTAATATTTTATTTTATTAATTTTTTAATCTATTTTTTTTTTAATAAATTAAATTAATCCCAACCCACTTTTCAAACAAAATGCTATATTTCACCCCCTTTAATTATTTATTTGTATTTTATTTATTTATTTATTTGGGCTCTTGTGGTCCATCAGGGGATCGCTCCAATTTTTATAACTTGCTATTCAATTTTAACGATCGACTAATTTGATGGTTCAATAGTAAGGATTCACTTTAAAAATCTAAATTATTCATACGATCTATCAAAAATATTATTTTTATAAAAAATCAATTTATTTGAATAATCGTAACTATATTATTAGATCACATTGTTAGTCAAAATAATGATAATTGTAATTTTAAAAATATACCATTCATTATTTTAAAGACAAATATAACATAACAATGCATCAACAACTATTCAATTTGATTTTTGTAAGAATGATCAAATGAGTCTTACAATATAAATGATTTGAATAATCAATATATGCTGCATAATCAACCTATGAGGGTCCAATAACATCTGTTATTGACTCTAGAGAAAGCTTCTTCTCTTTTTTTATGTACTAATGATTAGTTTATTTGTTCATAAATAATTAATGAATTTTGATGGCAAGTAATATATTGTCACATTTTCGATAATACAAAATAGGGCAAACTTTATATGTGTGTGCGTGCGTGTGTTAGAGTTGGTAGCATGAAGCTAAATCAGGTGTTTTGTTGAATGGAAGTGGAAATTTGTTGAATGGGTATGGAGGAAGAAGAAGGGAATGAAGAGAGAGAGAGAAGAAGAAAAAGAAGAAGAGTATACCACTTCTGGATATAATGAAGAAGTAGAGAAGGAAGAGAGAGAGAGAAGAAGGGTATAACTATCAATTTACAACTTCTGTTAATAAAAGTTAATATGCATTTTAGTCTACCAATCACAAAGGGGTTATGTGGTGATTTCCAAATGTTAGGGGGGTAATTCGCACCCTGTTCAAACCACGGGGGGTAAAGTGAAGTTTACCCTACAAAATAATAACAAAATTTTTGGTGAGATATAGTTGTCTTCATATTTTAAATCTATAATCAACCTGCCATTTAAGGTTTAAGGTTTTAGTAGAAATGCACTCAAAATGCTCTCTTTGAATTTTTAATTCACATAATAAATTGGAGGAGGAGGGGGTGATGGTTTGCGAATGTAGTGCCCCCAAAATAATACAATAAATATTACCCAAACATAAATTAAAAACAACATAAATCAGAGCAAATAGTCATTTCATTACATGAAGTTAATAATACAAAATGGTTTAACATAATTAAATGCCCTATTGGCTTACATCTTTCCAAGCCTTAACTTGGTTACACAAAAGGAGACTAGCTCATACACATTTAGTCCTAGGCTTTACAAAAATATACAATTCAAATTAAAGAAGTTCTTGCCCCCCCAAAATATCCCTTAAAGCTATTGTCTTGGTGGAGGTAAGTCACCAACACGTGAAAATGTTACTCCCAAATAGGGTGAGCCACAGCTTAGTAGAAATCATCTAGTACAATATATGAAACTTAGCAAAGGTATAAGCACACTATGCATACACAACATCAGTGATAGAGATATCCACAGTTTATATAATCATAAGGTACCAATTTCCATTCGTTTCATTACATGAACCAGTTTCATTATCTCTTTAACAATCCAAATGAGACTTCAACTCATTAGTTCTACCATCACATCAAAAATGCATGAACACTTCAAAACTTTTATTTTACGAAAATTTCGTCCGCGGGCAGCCGTCAAACGGGATCCATATAAACGTAGGCTATACAAGCACTACAATTTTCATTTTACGGATATTTCGTCCGCGGGCTAGGCACCCATGCATAATTTCGTGACTTTCACCTAGTACGTTCCGGCTAACTTAATTATAATAGAGTCCAACCAATTTCTCCTCCCAAACAATTATTCATACATATGTAATGTATTTAAACACAACATCATACAATGGAGCACATCCCCTTTCCACTCCCACATAATCATACATGTACAATGTATATAAGCAAAGTCATATCCAAATGTCAACAACAAGAGATCAGTTTTAATTCACCTAATCCTCATGTAATTTCTACAACAATCATGGTTGTCCTCCACCGATAGCCTAATATAGTTATTTGTAAATAGATATTCAATCTCATGACAAATAATTGATATCCACGAATGGCGCTCGGAATCTGTAGGCTTATTCGGCCCATGTGTGACTTGCACGGATGGGGCTCCGAATTCAGAGGCTTTTTTATCTTGGCCAATCATGATATCCGTGGAGGGTGCTCCAAATTCGTAGGCTTATTGGGCCCATGCGTGGCCTGCACGGATGGTGCTCCGAATTCGTTGGCCTTTTTATCCTGGCCAATCATGATATCCACGATGGGCGCTCTAAATCGGAAGGCTTATTCGGCCTATGCGTGACTTGCACGGATGGGGCTACGAATCCGGAGCCTTTTTTATCTTGGCCAATCGTGATATCCACGAAGGGCGCTCCGAATCCGGAGGCTTATTCGGCCCATGCGTGACCTGCACGGATGGTGCTCCGAATTTAGAGGCGTTTTGATCTTGGCCAATCCTGATATCCATGAAGGGTGCTCCGAATCCTCAGGCTTATTCGCTCCATGCGTGACTTGCACGGATGGTGTTCTGAATTCGGAGGCTTTTTTATCTTGGCCAATCGTGATATCCACGAAGGGCGCTCCGAATCCGGAGGCTTATTCGGCCCATGCGTGACTTGCTCGGTTGGGCCTCCAAATTCGGAGGCATTTTGATCTTGGCGAATCGTGATTTCCATGAAGGGAGCTCCGAATCCGCAGGCATATTCGGCCCATACGTGACTTGCACGGATGGTGCTCCTACACGGATGGGGCTCCGAATTCAGAGGCGTTTTGATCTTGGCCAATCGTGATATCCACGAAGGGCGCTCCGAATCCGCGGGCTTATTCGGCCCTTGCATGACCTGCACGGATGGTGCTCCGAATTCGGAGGCTTTTTAATCATGGCTAGTCGTGATATCCACAAAGGGCGCTCTGAAATCCGGAGTCTTTATTCGGCACAAACGTGACCTGCATGGATGGGCCTCCAAATTCGTAGGCTTTCTTATCTTGGGCAATCATGATATCCACAAAGGGCACTCCGAATCCGTAGGCTTATTCAGCCCATGTGTGACTGGCATTGATGGGGCTCCGAATTCATTGGCCTTTTTATCCTGGCCAATCATGATATCCACGAAGGGCACTCCGAATCCAGAGGCTTATTTGGCCCGTGCGTGACTTGCACGGACGGGGCTACGAATTCGGAGCCATTTTTATCTTAGCCAATCGTGATATCCACGAATGGCGCTCTGAATCCGGAGGCTTATTCGACCCATGTGTGACCAGCACGGATGGGGCTTCGAATCCAGAGGCTTTTTGATCTTGGCCAATCGTGACATCCACGAAGGGCGCTCCGAATCCAGAGGCTTATTCGGCCCATGCTTGACCTGCACGGATGGGGCCCGAATTCAGTGGCGTTTCAATCTTCGATAATCATGATATCCACGAAGGGAGCTCCAACTCCGCAGTCTTATTCGGCACCTACGTGACCTTCACGGATGGTGCTCCGAATTCGGAGGCCTTTTTCTCAAGCCCAATCGTGATATCCACTATGGGCGCTCCGAATCCAGAGTTTTTATTCGGCTCAAACGTGACCAACACGGATGGGCCTCCGAATTCGTTGGCTTTTTTATCTTGGCCAATTATGATATCCACGAAGGGCGCTACGAATCTGGAGGCTTATTGGGCACATGTGTGACTTGCACGGATGGGGCTAGGAATTCGGTGCCTTTTTTTATCTTGGCCAATCGTGATATCCACGATGGGTGCTCCGAATCCAGAGGCTTATTCGGCCCATGCGTGACCTGCACGGATGGTGCTCCGATTTCAGAGGCATTTTGATCTTGGCCAATCGTGATATCCACGAAGGGCGCTCCGAATCCGCAGGAATATTAGGCCCCTGCGCGACCTGCACGGATGGTGCTCTGAATACGGAGGCTTTTTGGTCATGGCCAATCGTGATATCCACAAAGGGCGCTCTGAATCTGGGGTCTTTATTCGGCTCAAATGTGACCTGCACGGATGGGCCTCCGAATTCGTAGGCTTTTTTATCTTGGCCAATCATGATATCCACGGAGGGCGCTCCGAATCCGTAGGCTTATTCGGCCCACGCGTGACCGGCACGAATGGGGCTACGAATTCAGAGCCGTTTTTATCTTGGCCAATCGTGATATCCACGAAGGGCGCTCCGAATCCGCAGGCTTATTCGGCCGCTGCGTGACTTGCACGGATGGTGCTTTGAATTCGGAGGCTTTTTTATCATGGCCAATCGTGATATCGACAAAGGGCGCTCCGAATCTGCAGTCTTTATTCGGCTCAAACGTGACTTGCACAGATGGGCCTCCGAATTCGTAGGCTTTTTTATCTTGGCCAATCATGATATCCACGGAGGGCGCTCCGAATCCGTAGGCTTATTCGGCCCACGCGTAACCGGCACGAATGGGGCTACGAATTCAGAGCCGTTTTTATCTTGGCCAATCGTGATATCCACGAAGGGCGCTCCGAATCTAGAGGCATATTCGGCCCATTCGTGACTTGTACAGATGGGGCTACGAATTCGGAGCCTTTTTTATCTTGGCCAATCGTGATATCCACAAAGGGCGTTCCGAATCCGGAGGCTTATTTGGCCCATGCGTGACCAACACGGATGGTGCACCGAATTCGGAGGCATTTTGATCTTGGCTAATCGTGATTTCCACGAAGGGCCCTCCAAATCCGGAGCCTCTATCCGGTCCAAACGTGACCTACATGAATGGGGCTCCGAAACCAGAC